TACAATAGAAAGAATATTTCTCCAAGATGCTCTTCAAAGATTGATCTTCATAAAGCCTTCGATACTCTTAATTGGGAATTCATCTCCACCATTTTGAAAGCCATTGGGCTGCCAAGTATCTTCATTAATTGGATTATTCTCTGCTATTCTACTGCAAGATACTCTGTCTCCTTCAATGGAGTCTCATTGGCTTCTTTAAGGGAGCTAAAGGCATTAGACAATGTGATCCCCTTTCCCCGTTATTATTTGTTCTCTCAATGAGTATCATCTCCAGACTCCTAAATTTAGCTGCTATTAGAGGTATTTTTGCCTACCATCCGAAATGTTCTAGAATTGGCCTGACATATTTTTCTTTTGCTGATGATCTTTTAATTTTCTGAAAGGAACTGTTGATTCGGTTATTGGTGTCACTAGTGTCTTAGATATGTTCTATGAGCTATCTGGTCTTAAACTTAATGCCTCTAAATGTGACTTATATTCTGCTGGTATGCATTTATCTGCTTTGGAGGATATAAAACTGCTTACTGGCTATAAAACAAACAGACTTCCTGTTAGGTATCTTGGAATCCCTCTGGTCACTAGGAAAATAACTGAAAAAGAATGTTCATCACTCATTGACAAAATTAAAGCTAGGTTGAATCATTGGTCTACTAAATCTCTAAGCTATGCTGGAAGATTGGAACTAATCAAAGTTGTCTTATTTAGTATCACTAATTACTGGTGTAGACAAATCCCACTGCCAAATTCTATTCTTAAGAAAGTCGAGCAACTTTGTTCACGTTTTTCTAGAAAGGAGAAGACAAATTTACATCAGGAGCCCTAAAGAAAAAAAGAGATACCATTCGTACATTGATTGATGCTCAAGGTAATATGCTGAAAACTTTCGATTCTATGTCAATTGAGGTGATAAGCTATTTTACTAATCTGATTGGTGCAAATGAGCCTGAGGTTAAAATTCTTGATCCTTATCTGCTGCAAGACATTCTACAATACATTATACCTAATGAAGATGCTAATGACCTTCTAAAAGAAATCTATCTTGATGAAATAAAGAATGCTTTCTTCAGTCAAGGAAATGACAAATCCCCCGGCCCTGACGGCTATACTCCGTTCTTTTTTAAACAAGCTTGGCCTATTATAAGTGTTGATGTCATTGCTGCCATAAAGAAATTCTTTCAAGATTCTTTCCTTCTTCCAGCATTCAACGCTACCACCATTGCTTTGGTGCCAAAGATTCTGAATCCTAGCAATATAAAGGACTTCAGACCAATATCATGTTGTAATGTGTTCTACAAAGCAATTTCCAAGATTCTGGTTAGTAGACTTCAAAAACTAATCCCTCACATTGTTTCACTCAATCAAATCGCTTTTGTAAAAGGGAGAAGTATAATTGATAATACACTCCTTGCACAAGAACTAGTACGAGGCTACAATAGAAAGAATATTTCTCCAAGATGCTCTTTAAAGATTGATCTTCATAAAGCCTTCGATACTCTTAATTGGGAATTCATCTCCATCATTTTGAAAGCCATTGGGCTGCCAAGTATCTTCATTAATTGGATTATTCTCTGCTATTCTACTGCAAGATACTCTATCTCCTTCAATGGGAGTCTCATTGGCTTCTTTAAGGGAGCTAAAGGCATTAGACAAGGTGATCCCCTTTCCCCGTTATTATTTGTTCTCTCAATGAGTATCCTCTCCAGACTCCTAAATTTAGCTGTTGTTAGAGGTATTTTTGCCTACCATCCGAAATGTTCTAGAATTGGCCTGACACATCTTTCTTTTGCTGATGATCTTTTAATTTTCTGCAAAGGAACTGTTGATTCAGTTATTGGTGTCACTAGTGTCTTAGATATGTTCTATGAGTTATCTGGTCTTAAACTTAATGCCTCTAAATATGACTTATATTCTGCTGGTATGCATTTATCTTCTTTGGAGGATATAAAACTGCTTACTGGCTTTAAAATAAATAGACTTCCTGTTAGGTATCTTGGAATCCCTCTGGTCACTAGGTAAATAACTGAAAAAGAATGTTCGGCACTCATTGACAATATTAAAGCTAGGTTGAATCATTGGTTTACTAAATCTCTAAGCTATGCTGGAAGATTGGAACTAATCAAAGTTGTCTTATTTAGTATCACTAATTACTGGTGTAGACAAATCCCACTGCCAAATTCTGTTCTTAAGAAAGTCGAGCAACTTTGTTCACGTTTTTTCTGGAAAGGAGAAGACAAATCTGCATCAGGAGCTAGAGTGAGTTGGCAAAACATTTGTCTTATCAAATCTGAGGGAGGGCTAGGAATTAAAGATTTGAAGACTTGGAACAAGGCTTGTATGATCTTCCTTATTAAAAATATTTTAGCGGGCGAAGGTTCCCTATGGGTGGCTTGGATCAATAACTATGTCCTTAAAGACAAAAATTTCTGGAATGCTGACATTTCGCCATCTGTAAGTTGGAGCTTAAGGCGACTTTTCAAACTGAGAAATGAAGCTTATCAAATCCTTTCTGCTGGCACGATAAAAGTGACTGACATTTGGGATGCTATTCGTGATAAGAGACCTCAAGTCCCATGGCAAAAAATAATATGTTTCCCTCTTCACATCCCTAAACATAGTTTAATCACTTGGATGGCTCTACTTGATAGACTCCCAACGAAGGTAAGACTCCACCGAATTGGGCTTATCAATGACTGCCATTGTGTGTTCTGCAATGCTCAAATGGAAACAAGGGAGCATTTGTTCCTCCAATGTCCTAGGGCAGAGCAGTTATGGAATTCTATTTTCTTCCACTCTGGTCTGCAATTTACTATCAGCTCTTGGGATGATTTCTTTGTGTGGGCAAGCTCTATTTGGAAAGGAAAATCACTGCTAACTTCGATTATGAAGCTTGCTCTAAACGCCCTTATCTACTTTCTCTGGGAAGAAAGAAATAAGAGGATCTTTAAAGGCTGCTCCAGAAATGTTCAACAGCTATTCCTTGCCATTAAAGACGTCGTTCGCTTTCAAATGAGGGATAGGAAAATAAATCGAAATGATAGTATTAATTCTTCCCTTTGTAAGCACTGGGATATTTCTGATTCTTAATTCTCTTGTACGTAGAATGATTCTGTAACAGAACACTGCTGTTTGTAGCAGGTTTTGTTCTTGTAACATACTGATTACTTGGGTAATGAAATTTGATGATTTATCAAAAAAAAAGTTAATGGTTTTTGGTTCGTTTAAAAATTAGATAACATTAATAAAAATGTTGATTTTTAATTTAAGTTTTAAATTTCAAATAAAATATCAATTTCACCCAGTCAACGACCACTTCCTCCGGGTGATGATGGTGTCTCTCACCATCAATCCTCTTTCTTTCGTATAGATTTAATTTTTCAAAACCAATTTGAGCATCCATGAAACTTTGGGCCCCCTTTTATCGGATTTAAGTCATCGACGGTCGAACCGACATCGAAGTTGACTAATGTTATTGTCAAACTAAACATGAAACTCAAACCTACAAAAGTCAGAAGCAAAAGGTGAGGCTTATTGCTATGAACTCCGGATGGCGTCCCATCCAACGATTAATGGCGACAATTCCAACGTGTTGGCGTCTATTTTCTGGAGCTTTGTAGGTTCTGAGTCTTCTTGCTCTATGATTAAAATATGCATTACAAATAGCTCGAGAAAAGAAAAAAAAATTGCTGTCATCCACTATTGGAGAAAATGTTGAACGTTTGTGGGTGAAATGACGACAGTGACCGATCATAGTTTAGATTTTTTAGATATTCTAATCTAATCAACGATCTTTTATTTTATGGATTGAACTAATTAATTACTTTTCGATAAAAAGAGATTATTTTTACGTGTCTCGTTAACAATTCTTCTAATCCTCTTCCAATTCCTCGTAATCCTCTACCAAGACCTATATGCTTTAAAATAGTATTATTCCCCATCCTAGTAATCTGACTGGATAATAATCTTTCTCATTTCCGCGTTCTAAGCACAAATTAAACCAACAAATTGTATTAAAATTAGAATCAATGTTTAAGTAGTTATATTTATTTTTTAAACAACCACTTGAATTCCTGTTAAATGTTACCCACGAGTTTCTTGATTAATCATTTAAACAATTAAATGACCTGGTTAACAAAATTAAAATATCAATAATCAGATCGGATTTAATGATGATGAAAGTTTAATCATAGAGCAAACAAGTATGATTATATGTATTACCATCAATAGGACAATAACTAATACAAACCAAATGCAAATTGAATAATTCATTAAACCAAAAACCACCCACTATCTTCAAAATAAAACTGAACCCAAATCTTCCTAAATCCTCAACATTACTACCATGAATCTGACTTTTGGAATTGTATTTAGCCACTCTCAACCAGCCTGAAGAATTTGTTCCAGACAGTCAGGCGGCCACATAGTTGACGTGTTTTTCGTTTTCCGAATGTTCATTTAGCCGTTCATCCGTTATGGGTTGCCTTTTTGTCATGACTGGGGAAGGAAGTGTCGCAACCCCTTGTTTTATCGGTTTTGCATTACTTGGAGATCGGAGAACTTTTTACACCGGCTTTCAGTTTTTACAAGAAAGTTTTTAAATATGATTTATACTTATACGCCAGAATTGAATCGAAAAGTAAGAGTGAAAATAAAATTTATGCAGCTAAGCTTCTATAGTTAGGGGAGATGAATAGAAAATGAGGAAAGTTTAAGAAAGATTGGCACAGAGAAAGAAGAAAAATGATGAATTGAGGGAGAAGAAGAGGAAGAGGTGATAGTTGGTCAAAATGATCTTGGTAAAATAATGTCAAAAAAATTAGATTAAAATGCCACATCAACTTTTTATCACTCAAGTATATCAAATTATTCAAAAAATTTCTAATATCCACATTAGTATTGTGATGGTACATTACAAGAATATCTAGCAAAAATGGGTCTCCAAATATAATCCGACATTCCAAGAAGTAAATCTCAGTGATTTACATATACAACTATTTGGGTGATTTATCGTCCAGACATAAGGTTGACAACGGCTTGTTTGTCATAGAAAGAACCAACATCCCAATCCTCTGTGTTGGATGAAAGAGTCATTAGAGCAACCACTATTGACCTCATACTCGGTCGCAGTCGAGGATTCTCCTGAGTACAGGCTTTGGCCAGCTGAGCCATCTGCAATATCCAAAAAAACACAGCCACCATTGTTTTATCGAAATCCTGAAAAAAAAAGAAAATTTCCCATGCATATGAATTCCCACAGAAACTGCTCTCACCTTGAACACATTGTCAAATGGATAACTATCTCCGAGCCTTGGATCGATAAGTTTGGACAGCCCTTCTTTAGGATCAGGCTCATCAAAAGCTTCTTCAAACTGCATTAGCAAAAAACTGTTAACCATATTATGCTCATGTGTTCTTTCTGCTTGGGCTCTTATGCGTAGAGGGGTCGAAAGAATACTAACCAGAGCCACAAGACCCTTCGATTCAGCGACAGAGCCATATGCCTTGACAATGGCTTCTTTAGCTGAAATTAGCTCATACAGCACGACCCCAAACGCAAATACATCTATTTTAGGAGAAACATCACCATATTGAGCGTATCTGCAGAGAAGCATGAATAAAGTTAGTCCATTTTTACATGAACAACCACTTTACAGAATGATGGCAAATTCATCAACACTAGAGGCATTTTACAAAATATATGGTGTTGCTGCAAACTTGCTAACATTAATTCGACAAATTAGAAATTTACATAAAACTAAGATATCGATAGACATATGATGCAGCTTACTAATTTGTATAAGGATCATTGGCCTCTAGGCTCTATAGTCGTAAACCTACCAAGTAGGCGACAGTCTAGCCAATTGTTGAACTTATGGCTGGTCCTTAACAACAATTGCTAACAAGTTACAGTGTTTTTTTAAATCTTACTCTGGCGACATGTATCCAAATGTCCCGACAAGACGTGTCGGCAGCGATGCATTTCCTACTTCTGTCAGTTTTGTTAATCCGAAATCTGCAACCTGTATTGATGTTAAAATGGGTTTAAGCACAATGATGACAAGAAGCTTTCAAGCAGACCACCAGATGAGAGATCACGAAAGAATAACCTTTGCACGGAATTTTTTGTCTATCAATATATTAGCTGATTTAATGTCACGGTGAATGTAAACAGGAACAGTATGCTCATGGATATATTCAAGACCTCTGGCTGAGTCAAGGGCAATTTGCACTCGAGCAGACCAAGGAAGTGGCTCCCTGCCTGCAAATAAACAACAGAAACCCATTAGTGTTGCTCTGAATCAATTGTATTTGCACTAATTTCCACATAAGAGATCTCACTCGAGCCTCGTAAATGCTGAGTTAGATTGCCGTTCTCAATGTATTCATAAACTAGGAAAAGAGAGCCTTCAACACAGTATCCAATCAAACGCACCTGCATCGATATTTACTTTGAATATAAATAACAAGATAAGAATTTTAGATCATAGATGCAAGATTAAAAGCTAAACAACTTTATTACTTGTGTATTGTCACAACTACAAAGATATGTATGGTAAAACTCGTTGAGATTCTAATTCAGCAGGATAACAGAAGCTTCATTCAATTATTTGTATTGCATTCTTAACATTAAGGGAAAATAAGAGTCATGGAAAATAATGCTTGAAAAACTATGCCACAAGTGCATATAGACAATTCCTCTGACTTGTACTGCAGAGAACAAAATCCTGACCTTCGGCTGTTGGCCTGTTGTGCCGCACCCAGAGTAGTAACAAAATGTTTATCAGATTCACACATATAAATAACATATAATAAATGATTTGTATTTAATGGTAAACAATTGTTCAAAGATACACCCCGTTAAATTTACAGTTTTCCATTAATTCACAGAAACCGAACTTAATTGAAATCAATTTATCTACAGATCATGAGAAAAAGAGCATATTACCAGGTTCAGGTGATGAACATGTGTCAAAACCTTTAATTCCGCTAGAAATTCTTTAGATGCCTCCATATCCATCTTCTTGATTGCAGCTTCCTGCAAAGTAAGTAATAAATACACAAGTGACATATGGAACCAATATCGACAATGGTTCTCTTATGCAGGGATAATTAATTTAACAAATATATTAAACAGAGTAATTTGAAAACTCAGATAAATGCTTGTGAGAAAATGTATTTTATTGTTCTTTTTAAATGTAAGAAACAGCAAAGTTTTGCTTCCTCCGGATACATGGGACAGCACATTCATGTATCTGGACCACCATTTTTCCAGCAACCCAAGCAAGAACCTTTGCTTAAAATTACCATTCTTCTATTTTGTATATGTTACAAAATCTTTCTTTGAAGTGCAAGCAAATTACGGATTCAAATGAACATCCACCCAACCATGGTATTCTGAACTTTGATCCTCTTAAACTCTAAAATATGCTATAAAAAACAGTTTTCTTTCCCTCAATAATATTAGCAAGAAACTCCGAGTGATCTCTTCTCCAGTCTAATTTTTTTCTCCCTACGTGACGGTTTTGGCGGGCAACCTAGTTGTTTTAAATTAACATGCCAGATGTTGAGCCTGTCGTTGAAGCTTAGTCCATATCCTAGACATACAGGACAGCTACAATTACTTGACCAAATGTAAAAAGAAGCACCAAATAGAATTTTCTCTGTAATTTAATGGTAGAAACAAAAGAGCATGCAACTACAAACAAACCTCGCCTCTCAGATTTGCATAGTAAACAGCCCCAAAGCCACCTTCACCGATCTTGTTAGCCATACTGAAACTATCAGTCGCCTGGGCAAGTTCTTCATAAGAGAACTCAACTGATTTGTCCACTGTAATGCTAGTAAGGCCTGGAGAAGCAGCAACAGCTGGAGTTGATTCTACCGCCTTGCTTCCAAAAGCTAAACAGATCCCATCAAACACAAAAAGAAAAGCAGGGACCAATCAGCCATTGAGATAATTGTAATCAAGATTTACTAGGAAAGTATAGTTTTTATTTCTAACAAAAAATATATAAAATAAAATGTGTAGATATCTCAGGCTCATCACAGGAATGTAAGGTGAAAGAGAAGCAAGGGGGTTACCGTTTCCAGTTTGAGCTGATAAATCTGGGGAAGCTGCTGATAACAATGTTGCTTCCTTTGTCGTCTTCTTCCGGAAAAATCCAACATGTAGACCAACTGCCAGCAACAACAATACCAGTATGGCTGCTATACATATATCCCAGCAATAACTCCACCTGAAATTCCTGAATATATAAAAACAAAATATAAGCCTGAAGTGTAAAGTTACAGTTAATCAGCACCCCAATATCATAATCATCACAGAAGCAACATGCAAAGAAGAGCAACCACCTTTGCTGCAAAACAGAAGAATAAACAGATTCAGAAACTATGGATGCAAAGCCTAAACAAATGATAATACTACAATAAACTATTTTTGAAGTTTAAAGTTGCATCAGCTACCTTGATTTGAGTGGTGGAAATTTATTATCCTCGTCTGCAAAAAGAAAAAGAATCTTTAGTGGGTTGTTAATGACAGTGGTGGTAATAAAGTATAATGCCATGCGCTGGGTGTCTAAAATCAACAACTTAACCATATTGTACGACTCCCGTGGGTTATTATGAAAGAAAAAAGTATAAATGAAATAATTCCACAAATTTTACAACATTTTCATGCATAAATATACCCAAAAATTTCCTGAACGATTAAAGAGCAACATATTTGCTACAATACACATGAAGACGAGTTCCATAAAATATATTAAAAAATTTAAACTTAATGTGTGAGCGGACGAAAATCGTAAACCGGTCATATTCACACAAGTTTCGATTATTTATTTTATTTTATAAAATTCATCTTGTTCACGAATTCTAAATATACTATAACAAATGATTAAATCCCAAATTAACTTTTCAACACCTACTCTCTCAAAATACTTTTCCCAATTGGATTATTTCACTAAATAAGTCTATAAAATTTGCAAAACAAAAATGTAAATGAGAGAGCAAATCTGCCGGAATGGACAGTAAAATTATTCCATTTTCACTTTACCTGTTAAAATAAAAGAACAAAAAAGAAAAAAATATTAAAAGAAATCAACTCTGCCCGGAATATATACCAAACCGGCCCCTGAACTGAAATTCACCCCGGGGTTGTATCTCTGCACCAACCCCGATAAATCCGACGAAAGATTCGCCTGGGTCAACACAGAACTCAGATTCTCCCCAGGCCGGAGCGGATACGTTACAAACAAGCCGTATTCCTTGGAAATATCAGCATCACCGCACGAACAGTTAACCACCACACTAACCGTCGTCCCAGTATCCGGTATATTCGCCGCCGGAAAGGAATTGAACCGCTGCAACCACTCGACCGTCGTCAGATTGGAATAGTACTCTCTGGCGATCTTGTCGTAAGTGTCGCGTGGCCTAATACTGTAGTTGAACTCATGGGCGTGGAATTCGCCTTTGATGCAGTCACAAGGGAAAGGAACATTGATTCTACTCCCGGCTTTGACGCTGTCTTTGTTGGCAACTTGTTTGTTGTAAGCAAGGATTGGGTCGAAATTGACTGTGGAGTAAGGGACAAGGGGGGATTGAAGAACCTGGGATATGAAGGTCAAGTTGGAATCTGACCAAACGTAGTAGGATGCTAAGGCGGTGCAGCTTCTGACGGTGCATCTTGATTCTGCTGAAATTGGGAAAGCTAAGATTATAAGCAACGGAATTGGGAATAATTTAATCAACATCTTTTTGGGGATTGGAACCCCCCAAGGTTGGGATTTTTTTTTTAAGCATCCAAGTCAAGGGAGAGGTTGACAGACTTTTGAAAGTTGACTGTTAAGACCGTTGAACGGAGTTGTGAACAGTTGTAGAAGAAAATTGGTGGGATGTCGTGACAAATCATTAACTTGATGAATTTCTTTTTACAAGACCGGGTGTTAACGTAAATTATTCATTCATCTTTCCATGGTATATATAGAGATATCGGCAGTGACATTCAAGTGGTAGAGACATAGGGAATGCAAGTTGAAGTTCAGATGCTGTTGCATGAGCAGACTTTTTCCTCAACAATGCAGACTTATTATCAAAATATAGACGTGGGTAGTAACATTCAAGTGGTAGAGACAGCAAATGATCAGCGTGAATTAAATCCTTAATAACATCATCAAGGCATGCGTTTCAGCAAATGGATCAACCCCCTTTTTTGGCAATAAACCTTTCATAACAACAATTTCGGGAAAAACTGTGTTTTCGTCTTTTCCAATTTCCTTACCTCCTCTTCAACGACATTGGCAGAATTAGACCCTTCGTTATTGACTTTTGTAGGATGCATTGGTGGGCACTCGATAAACTTATAATTAAAATTATTATTGATACAAAAATAATAAAACACGAGTACAAACATTAGCTTCTACTAGTTTACAAACACCATACAAATCAAAGCTTTGCTAAGTTTCACCCTTTTCTCTTTAATTTTCTTTACTTACTTCCTCACTCGTACATTCATCATACTAGCTACAAAACACACATATATACTAGTGTATAAACCGCCTAAGCATGCTTCAACACTGCCGTGTTTAACTTAAATTTTTGCGGCTTCTTTTACTTAATTAAAAGGCTTTCAAGTTGCTGCCAACTCAATTCACTTGTAAATGCAAACTTTCAAATTGATGCCACATTTCAAGCTTGAATTCCTTGTCGTGGTGAATTCGTTAACTTCTGTTGGAGTCTTATCCTTAATTGCAAAGTAATTCATGTGTTGCTGCCACCTTTTATCCAAGCTTTGCCTTCTTATCAATTAAACTTGGCCGCCACGGTTTTTGCTAATCAAATTGCTTAAGCTTCTTGCCATATGTAGCTAAGATAATCATAGTTTGTCAACATAAAATAAAGTTTGAATTCTAACACTCCTCAAACTTGATTTTTCATTTCTTCTTAAGTGTGTTGAATGTGTTTACTTTCAATGTCTTCGTAAAAATATCTACTAGTTGATCTTTAGTTTTGCAGTAGATTAACTTTACATTTTTGTTCTTCACATGCTCTCCTATAAAGTGATACCTTGTATCAATGTGCTTGCTTCGACTATGGGAGACGGGATTCTTAGCAAGAGAAATTGTAGACTTGTTGTCGACATAAATTGTAGTTGGCTCTACTTGTACCAAATTTAGCTCATTCAAAATATTCTTTAATCAAATTGCTTGGTAAGTGCACGCTACTGTACCTATATATTCTGCTTCACATGTCAAAACTGCTATCGTTTGTTGCTTCTTTAAAGACCCAGAAAATGCTGCAAAGTTTATATAAAATAGATATCTAGTACTTTTTCGATCATCTAAGTATCCCATATAATCATTGTCAAAATAACCAACTTCGAATTTTCTAAATGTGTGTAGAACAAATCATGATCCATCGTGCCTTTGACATGTCTTAAAATTCTCTCGATTGCAATTCAGTGATCTTATTTTGGCTTCTCTATGAATCTGCTTACCAATCCCGCAACATATGTAATTTCTGGTCGTGTGATAGTCAGATACCTTAAACTTCTTCTTCTAGGTAACCATTCAGAGATGTTGACTTCACATCAATCTGATAAATCTTCCATTTGTTTTAAGTTGCTACTGCTGTGAGAAGTCTAATGGTCTCTACCCTTTCTATTGGAGAAATACTTCATCATAATTTATCCCTTGTCCTTGTTTGTAGCCTTTGGCAATTAAACTTACTTTGTATTTCTCAACTTTTCCTTCTTTATTGGATTTTATCTTGTACACCCACTTCACTCCAATTGGGTTGTGACCTTCTGATCGTCTTGTCAGCTCCCACGTACCATTTCTTTCTATCGATGCAATTTCTTCATCCATAGCATTATTTCATTTTTCATTTTTCATCTTTAATTGCTTCTTCATGTTCTATTGGATCAATGTTTTGAAAGTAAGCAGAAAAGTGAAACATTTTATAATTCATAATCATTGTATCTTTCTAGTATTCTTCTATCCCTTGTAGATCTTCGAATTTCTGTGAGAGGTATTTTAGAATAATCTATTCTATTGCTACTACTGTTATTGTTGCTTGTTGATGGTGATGTAGTTGAACTTTGTTGAGGACCTTAATCATCATCTTGTTCATCTTGATCGATAAGATCATAATCATTTTTATCTTCATTAAAAAATAGTCCTTCAACTTTCTTTTCTTCTTTGCTTCATCTCCATAATTTTGCTTCATTAACTAGAAATCTCTTGAAATTATTATCTTCTTGGTAAGAGGATTATAGAGCATGTAGGCTTTACTTCTTTCATCATAACCGATGAGAGAATACATTTATCTCTTCTGTCATTTGGCTATTTTCTTGTTTGCTCAGGAACATGGGCATATGCAATACATCCAAAAATCTTGAGGAGTCCAACTCCCGATTTTTGACAGTTTCATGCTTCATTTGGAGTTATGTGCTTCACACTCTTTCTTGGACATCTGTTCAACAAGTAAACTACACATTGAACTACTTCAATCCAGAAATTTATCGGTAAGTGCTTACTTTTTATCATGCACCTCGCCATGTCAAGGATTGTGTGATTCTTTCTTTCAGCTAATCCATTTTGTTGAGGCGTGCATGCAACTATCAACTTATGGATGATTCCAGGCTCTTTGTAGAAGTCTTCAAATAAATTTGATGTATACTCTCCTTCTCTATCAGACCTGAGTATCTTTAAATATTAGCCACTTTGCTTTTTCGTCATTGCTTTAAATTCTTTCAATTTCTTCCGCGCTTCTTAGTTTTCCTTAAAATATAAATCTAATTTTTTCTACTAAAATCATTAATAAAAGTTAATGGTGAGGTGTTTTAACTTGCACATATTTTATTGATAATTATTTCTCATTGTTTATTTAATGTTGCCGATTTGGTCTATTTTTATTCAATTTTTTAACACCCTAATCCAGTTCGACCCGAAGATTGATGGATTACGATGTCACACGGGACCACCGAAGTGGCTTACTCAAAAATTTTCTTTTAAAACAATTGTGAAAACACCATACTAAAATCCATCCATGATAATCAAAATAAAAAGGAATAAATCAAGTTTACATAATACAGGGTAAATAATTAATATTATCTTTAAATAGTAAAATAATTTATTTAATATTATTTATGTCAATATTATTATTAAAATATTATTTCTATAATTTTATTGAATAAAAATATTAAGACTATTACATTTTATTAAAATAAAAAATTTATAAATTATATTAATTATTTATTATAATAAAAATATTATATTATTAATTACTAAAATAAAATTATTATTATTATATTTAAATTATAATATTTAATTATATTTTTGAAATTTTTAATAAATATATTTTAAATTTATAATAATTTTATTTTATGAAATTAATAAATAAAATAATTTTATTAATAATTTATTACATATCATTAAAATAAAAATATAATATAATATATTATTATAATATAATATAATATAATATATTAATATAACATTAAAAACAATATATTATATTATTAAAATTATTAATAAATATATTTTATTAATGAATATTTTCATTAAAATGGTATTAAAATAGTATATTAATATTAATTACATAAAATAATATTATTTTACATATTTTTATTTTAAAGTCAAAAGTTTGAAAAATGACTTACGAATAATCAAACCGTAAGTCATTTTCCAAGATTTACAAATAAAATTTTATTGATAAGAAAAATGAATTACATTAACTTTCTATTTTCACCAACCAAACATTAAAAATAAGAAGAATAGTGAAACAAATAATCCTTACATTTGTTGCATTTGTATTATACAATACACCAATAACACAAGAGTTCATCTGCTAAACCTATATTTATTTGAATAAATATATTTGTGATTTAATAACATCTGATCAAATCGTTTGTCAAAATTTATAACCATATTTGTAACTACTAGTTGTATTTTAACGATTTGATCAATAAAAAAACGATTCAATTAATTAATCTATAAAACATAATAGGAGTGAGAGAGATATTCTTTATTGTCTTTTTCTTTTTTGTATTGCATCTTTATTTTTATTTTATTTTTTTTATTTTCAATAAGTTTGCATGTGTTGTATGTTTTCATCTGTCTTTATGACACGTTTTCTTATGTTTTTCTGTTCTTTGGCCGTATTTTCATTTATCTTTTTGCTAAGGGTTGATTTGACATCGTCACGGTTGATCAAGATGACGCTTATCTTATATCTTGTGATCTTCTCTGTTTTGGACCTTCGGATTGGATTTGGATACTCGATTTGCGTTTGTGGATAGCTTTTCACGTCGCTCGATTCTGATTTACGGTTTGGAGGTGGTCTTTCAATAGCTTGATCTCCTTTTGTGGTTCGTTTCTCGATGCGATCGGATCTATTTGTATCTATCTTTGTTCAAGTTTCTTGGTTAGATTTAATCTTTCCTTGTATGGTCCTTATGCGATCTTACGTTGCTAGTTTTGTTTCAATGATTATAGAAAATGTTTCTAATTATGTGTTTAATTTACGATTGTAATTGTAAATCTTTATTGTAATTTGAGATATTTTCTATTTTTGAATAAAATTAGTTGCTTCTTTCAAAAAAAAATATAATAGGAGTAATTAATAACTACAATTAATGATTAAAAATTAATAAATATATCCTAACAACAAAATATTCTCAGTGATTTATTTAAATAATAAATAAATAAATAATAATATTTTAAAAAATATTATACGTTAATTTTTAATCGATCTAAAAGATCGTGTTAAATTTGATGTGAAAATAATTATAGTAGTTGACTGTATAATGTTTAACCATAAATATATCCTATTATGTTATCAATA